CGTTTCTGGGAAAAACTTTTGTCACTTTTCAAATGATGAAAACAGACAATGTTTCTATAGAAATGTTTAAAACAGTTTGTCATTGTCAGACATTTGAAGGGAATCTTTTTTTTTAAGTTTGTCACATGCATATTTATAAATAATGATAAAATTATTTAAGATTATTTTATTACCTTCAGTGTAAATAGAACTTTCAAGTATGCAGAAATCAAAACACTACCTTGAAAGAAACAATGATTGGTAAAACCTACTGTCAATGGTCTGTGAGATTCTTAGCTTGTTAATCGTTGCTCCCTGGCTGGCACTCAGCAAAATCATTGATCTATACGTGTTTAAATATATTACATATTATTTAATAATACTTTTAAGATGAATAAAGATAATTCTCTAACAAAATATCTAACATTTAATGAATGTTGGAGAAGGGAATCTGTATTCATTTTTGCTGCAGTGCCAACAATGGATGCAACTGATGCATTTTTGTTGGATGATGGTTCTTTTTTGAGATTATCTGGCCAATTTCTATCACTTCAGATAGAACCCAGTTAATGCCATGATAGAGAAATGTAATTTCTCTATCAGAGAAATGTAAATTGACCGAAAAGTTGTTGTTGTTATTATTTCAATTGCTTGCATTTTCAATACAATGATATTAAACAAATCTTTCCTTTTCTGACAGGAGCTTTCTGCTTTATTCTTTCATTTTCTAGTGTGACTTTATCAAATCTATTAGGAGGCATTTTCTAGATAATCCTCATTACTAAAATAAAAATCAAGTTGCAGGTGTAAATATGACAAATTAAAAGAAAAATAGAGAAACTGATTTCAACTTGCAATTTTGTTGACAATGTCACCATCAGAAAAATTTTTTTTTTTTTTTTTTTTTTTTAGTTGAGGACATTTTTAATATCCAATACCAGATGCCCATCCAAGAAAAAAAAAAAAAAAACAAGAAACCCAACAAACAAAATCCAATAACAACAAACATTGAACCAGCAAAGAAACAAAAAATTATTTTTATAAAATTAGTTAAGGGTCTTGTTTTTTTTATTTGTTTTTGTTTATATAGCAATTCTGTTCTAAATTTAAGGTTCCTAAAGCAAAGGCGGGAACAATTTGCCCAATGCCTACATGCCCAGTCACATTCAAAAAAGAATAACAGGTTTATCACCTAGATTTTAGAAGCATACATGGAACATAGAAGAGCATAAAGTATTTGATCATTGTAAATAATGCCTAACACGCATTCAAAATATTGGTTGGTATTCTAAATTTTACAAGCATACTGATGTACTAAAGACAAATTCTTCAAAGGTTTTCAAGTAGAGATTTAGGGAATTGTTAGACGTTGTGGAAAGGCCTTTTATTTAGCCTCTACGCTCATCCAAATATGAAGCACATATTTATAATATATGTCATCAGGCTTCATGCAAAAATTGAAGTGTAAAAAATGGAGTTTTGGATAAAGGTACACATGTGAAAAAAAAAAGAAGACCCCAATATAAGAGAAATTAAATTTCTTCTCCCTTTCACAAAAGAAAAAAATCTGGCACAAGGTCAACCGTTAGAGCATTTGAGATCTCTGGTACAATATTCAGGGTAGAAATAATCCATTTTGGCCAGGTCTAGCCAATTAGTCCTTGTGTAAATCTGAGATCATCATTAACCACAAGAGTGGTGGGGAAAAAAAAAACAAAAAAAAAAACATCACCTGAAATGCCACACCTAACATTTGACAAAATATTCATGACTTGCTGTAAGGAATTTTATTCCCTTCATTTATTACATTTAGAAATACAAAAACTGACCTCCCACCCGACCAAAAGAAAAAAAAATTGTTCAAATTAAGTTTTGTTTTCTTTGAAAAAGCTCTCAAATATTATGCATTATGACTAAATAGTTTGAAATAAGGATGTGGAAAGGTGCCTCACCAATTTTGTAAAAATGTTTTCAAAGAAAAAGAAAAAAACTGAATAATCTGGAATGTTAGCATTTTTTCTTCCCACTGGTTGAGCAACTGCTTTCAAAATTTTGTTTTTGTATATATAGAAAATTTCAGACATTATTAACTGCTTTAAATTTTCATTTTTCATTGTTAATATTTGGTAATGAACACCACTAACTTAGTGCCTAAGAAATTTAAATGACTTGATCCCTATAAGTTAGTGGTACCCATGAGAGCAGATGAACTGATAAATGAAAGGAGATGAATTTGGATTAAAAAAAGATGAAACTCTTTCCTCGTTGAGCAAAAGAAATAAAGATGGACAATCTCAGTAATAATTTTAGAAGTTATGGGTTAAACATTATTTGGAAGTAAAGTCAATTGGAAAGTACACCCCTCTGCTCATTCAAGTGCCATGGAATCACATTAGAGAAACCTTATTGTTTTATACTGTATAAAATTTGTTTTATTTGTAAGGCAATAAAGAAAAGTGTGGCATATTTTACAAGCAGGTTAAATTTGTAAGGTTGCTGAAAGGCTTAAGGTTCTTATGGGCAGACGATGTATGATAGAATAGTTTTTATATTTGAATTGTTTTATAGACAAAAATTCAGATTTTAATGACTGATGGCAGATAAAATGAGTTAATATTCTCTACCCCTATCACCCATCATGTGCTTCTTTCACATGGAGTTATGGTTTATATATTTCAAAAAACAGACCAAATATGGAAGTTAGCTGAAAAAACTCATTGTGAGCTGATAATGAAATTGAGTTTTGTAGACGAGCAGGAATCTTGGACATTATTGAATAATTATTTATTCTTCATTTTTATTTGTATTTTCCTTTACCCCACTTACAATCACAAATAATTAAAAAATATGTAAAAATGCTAAAGCCATTAATAGTAGTTGCAAGAACAAAAGGTTCACTTGAATACAGGTTAGGAGGGTGTTCTCTCAAGCAGAGACTGTCCCAAAAGTTGGTTTACACTTTACTTTGCTTTATTCACCCATCAAGAAAGAATTTTAATTCTCCTAAAGTAACATCTTGAATTAATGCCTTTCAACAAATCTAACAAAAATAATTTTTGTCATAGTATGTGTTGGTGTTGGAAATTGGTTACAAAATTCTGTGATGTATGATAGGAAACAATTTGAAAATTGGTCTTATTAAATTAACTGTTGTTAATTGTACAGATTGAGAAAATATCAATAATTGTTTGTTTCAATAAAAGATTTAATCTTTTTTTAAAAAGTATGAACCTTTTTGAAGCCTCAGTGTGTGTGTGTGTGTGTGTGTGTTTGCATGCATGCACATATATGTATGTATGTATGTAAAATTCTAACTGACCATGTCTATATACCTTGAATGTATGTATGTGTTTTATATCACAGTATCTTAAAAGTCAAAGTTCTGGTAAGTTCTCTTCCAGATAAAGAGAGAGTCCAAGTGAAGAAAACATTTTAAAAATTGCAAAATAATCCATATTATGCTATAATTATTAATACCAACATGAGCAATTTAACTTTTATGACATCCTCACTCTGAGAAAATAAAATGGTCCATGTAAATCCTTTTCAAATGCTAATGTCTTGACTATTTTAATTTTGCTTATGATCACTAAATGACCTGGACACTTAGCAGTTGGTTATAGAACAGAGGTCATCAATGGCTTATTTAGTAATTTTTCTTATGAGTTTATATCGACAATTTCAAATTCAAAATGAAAAAGTTAATATGAAACAAAAGAATTATTTTCCCGACTGGCTCCAAAAACCAAAGAAAGAATTGATATGCTGGAAATAAAATCTGGTATTTCAAATGTAATCTATTTTCTTGTGTGATGACAATGTATTTTTAGTTTTCTAGGTTGAGAAAAAAAAAAAAAAACAGAAAAATAAAGACAATAGAATATGAGGTAGAGAAAAAAAACGATTCTTCAATTTCCTTTTACTAACATCACCCAACCCACCCAACAAAAAAAAAAGAGAAGGAAATTAAGAAAAATTTTGTTGACTGGTTCATACCTATAACAGTACAAACAGCAAATCAAAATAAGGAATGTATTTGAAAAATAAAATAAAATAAAATAAAATGGTATCCCCCCACCCCTCAACAGAAATGAATCCAAAAATTGATATGTTGAAATAGAACAAAATCAGGAAGATCAGATTTTTAAAATAAAAAAAAATTTCTCAAAACCTTGACAGGCAATTAAAGGGACAAATATTTTCTCATAAAATCCATTCTTAAAAAAAAAATATCAGTGAAGGCTAAAACAAAAAGAATAAAATAAATCAAGTGGAAGGGAGGGGTTAGAGGTTAGGTCGCAATGTCCTTGTTTTGAGAGGGTTCTACAGTTTTCAAAAACTGATAGTGTGTGTGTGTGTGCGCGCATGAATTTGGTTGTTACTGTCCCATCTGAGGAGATACTGTGAATGGTACATGTCAAAAACATATCGACAAAATATTAACATACATACAGAACAGTGTGACAGCCAACCAAAGGATTTGGGTTTTGAGGCAGAGATCTAGATCCCACCCACTAGCCAGGGGTGGACAGTAATCTGACCAAGTAGGGGATGAGAAGGAAGGACGTATTGAAATGGGTGGGGGAATAAATTCAACAATTTTTTGTATATTGGACAGATTTTAAGATGTAGTGTTCGAAAATGGATTTGCCAAAATATCCGTCTTTTCTTTTTAGGCAGATTCATTTAGACACGCACACATGTATACACTTTTGTATGCATAAACACATAGACGTCTACTGTGTTTATGCAAGCTGATAAAAAAATATTTGTGTACAAGCATTTGTGTTTGTCCATATACATCTTTGTACACAGATAAATACTTTGCTGTACGCACATACAATGTGTGAGTGTGTGTGTTTGCATGCTTATTATCACTGTCATGTAAGCAAGAATATTGCACCCAAGTCGACATATTGGTGTGGAAGTGTGTGTCTATGAAAATGTTTAAAGTTGGGATGGGAATGCAGAGGAAACATGGGGAAGAGCAAGGATCAAAATCTTGATCGTCACTCCTTTTTTTAGAAAGCATCTTTTATTTTGCTGAATGGACGCACAGCGATGTCAGCAGGCAATTTGAAGTTGATAACATTTAACCGTTCCAGGGATTTGAGGGCATCATCAAAACCTGCAGAACAAAAGCAGTGGAAATATAAGTAATGTAAAGTGTGGAAAAGGATCAACAAACACAAATTGTCTGTGGCTAAATCGGGGAAAATTTATTCTTAAATATTTAGTTTTGGATATTATTGTCTTTGGATAACATTGAATTTTGTTTACCTAATAAAATCATCAATAAATTTCCAAATAACAACAGAGTTAGTGCATTTAAAGAAATGTAACATTATCAATAGGTTAGAGTTGTGAAAAAAACTAACCTTTTCTACACCTTTTATTGAAACATGTGTTCGTCCATCTGCTATGAGTAGGACATCTGCTTCTTCACTTAACCTTTTGTTTCCAGTGTTTACCTTAGTCTTACTAACCATCAACTATAAATGTTATAAAAACTTTATAACTGTAAGTAAAGAGATACCTTTTTGGTTAGAACTTATTTTTTTTACATTAATATAGAAGAGTTTTTCAATCCAAATCTATAAGAGTTGGTTTGGTTCCTTTTGTTTAGTGGCACATCAACACCTCTTTAGGTTATTTAAAGCCAAAATCTAAATGAGAATTCAAACTTTATAATAAATTCAACAGAATGACATTATTTCATGATTAAATTATAATTGCTTAGCTGAATTTTTTTTTTACCAAATAATCTGACAAAATCAACTTAAGAGTGAAAATTAATCAAAGCAAAATTTTTAAAATTTTTATTTTTTTTGACAATGTATGTCATGTATTTAATTTTATTATAAAAATGTATTGTTGGTATTTTTATAAAAATGTATTTTTATACTTTCTTAGTGTTTTAATTTTTGTTTGGCTGGTTGACTATTTTCTGGGACCCTAACAGGTGCTACCACCCTGGATCAGGATGGACCTGGGAAGAACAGCAATTAAGAGGTGGTTCCAGGCCCCTCAAAATCTCCAATCTCCCGATCAGAGACCTTACTGCTGGATGTAGTTTATAGTCATACCAGGATGGAAATCTATAAGGAGTGATCAAGTGAATTTATTTGGGTTTAATTAATTTCTATATAAAAGTCATTTATTATCAAACATATTTTTAAGGAAATTATCTTTGCTAAATCTTTTTTCCTTTTTGAAGATATAATCCAATTAATGTGACATCATCAACATTGACGTTCATTTCTAACTTACCTGTTCTTGCGACATAACTCCAATCTTGGTAATAATAATCCACAAGAAATTGAGTTCGAAATAACAGCTTCAGCCAAGTTACAAGTTTCTTTTCACTGAAAGGAGAAAAAAGAAAAGGAAACATTTTTATAGCAGTTGATTAGGATGATGGGCAAGATGATACACAGTCATTTCCGCACACCTTGTGCAACTCTGCTGCATGGACCTTAGTTATGGTCTTTGGGAGAGAGTTCATAATCAAGCATAATCAATAATTTCAATAAAGCCAGTACTTTTGGACCCTTGGTCATGATGACTTGGGATTTTCTGCTAGCACAATCATTGACAACCTTCAAACAGTTTTATCTACCCTTCCGCTCACAAACTTAGGTCAACTGGTTATATTTTGTTCCAGCACTTTCCAACTGTGCTGCATACAGGGATTCTCTCTCCAGACAAATTAATTTTTTTTATTTTTGGCAGTTGGTAAATTTTTTAGTTTCTTATATTTCAAAGTCAACTAAATTAAAACTCTCTCTTAAGTCTCAATACAGCAAATGTTTATTGTGTGTGTGTGTGTGCGTGTACTAATCACTAAGGAAAATCATAAGTGGCAACTCAGACATATATCAACAGGAGATGGTTATCATTAAACATAATCTTTAAAACTACACTAGCATCAGCTTCTGCAGGCAGAAACAGGAGGGTTAGGAGGATGAGGATCAGAAAATGATCACAGACCATCTCCCTTATGTCAAGGGCTTGCTGAAAAGAATTCAGATCTGTGGCTCATACAGCATTAAGACAATATTCAGAAGTAGCTAAATCTTACAAAGCTCTGTCATGCCAAAAGTAATACAGAACACAACCAAGAACTTTGTGTATTCCACCACAATGAAATCAGGCATGGCTGGTCATGTGTGGAGGGAACAGTGTGGTCACCAACCTCAGTGGAATTAAATAAAAATACTAAACTGAGAACAACTCAGTAAAGTTAGATGTCTGAATGAATCGGTACATGCTAGGCTATGAGAGTTTTTTCAATAGGCCTAGCATAAAAATAAATAACATATGGGAACTATTAATAAAAAGAAATGACAAAACTTCAACAGCTGTAAGAAAAGAGAAACCACAGTGAATGCAGTCAAGCATGATGCCAGCAGCAAGCAGAAAAGAACAATATTAGGTTTAAAACACTAATTTTTAGGTTTAGGATTGCCCCACTGGACAATAGTCAAGTGGATTAAAGTTTTAGAGTGTGAATTTGGTGGTAGTAATTGTGAGTTTGATTCCTGAGTACAAACTTAGAATCAGTAGAAAACTGTACAATAAATGCCTTGCTGTTTTTTGCTTTCCTGCTAGTTGGAAATCCTCTTCTGTCATTCCTGTCTTTTAGAACTCAGGCAGATCATCTGATCATTCTATCAGCCTTCTAAGTTCTAGAGGCTTTAATCAACTCTGAATTGGTTAAGCATCTCACCTCATAGGGTCTTCTTTCAGATAAGCAATATAGCTTTTGTTTCTCTAGATCAACTGCTGATGTGTTAATGGTTATTGCTGAAAGAATCTATCAAGCTTTAGATAAGAATGAAGCTCGGGTTGTTGCTTTAGATATTTCAAAGGCTTTTGACAGGCTTTGGCATATTGATCTTCTGAAAGTTGAAAGGTAATAGTATTTCTGGATGAATTTTTGAACTGATTCAGTCTTTCTTATCAAATTATAAAATAAAAGTGGTTCTGGATGGCCACTCTTCTAGATTTTTTGCATTAATGTAGGTGTCCCCCAGGACTCTATCTTTAGACCCATGTTGTTCTTAATTTTCATCAACGACCTTCATGATGGCATCAGTTCTCAACTCAGCATCTATGCTGATGACACAATTTATTCTTGTCTTAATATGCCTGAGCAGTTTCATAAGGTCAAATTGGCTGTTGATTTAAAAAAATGATTTACTTTCTGTTGTTAACTGGAGTAATGAGTGGTTTGTTAATTTTAACACCTCTAAAATGAAACTTATCTCTTTTAATCTTCTGAGAGAACCCTTTTTACTGTCCATCAGCATGACTGATGCTAACTTCCAGAAAAGTGATTCATTGTGCCTTCTTGGGCAAATGTTTTCCACTGATATGAAGGGAAAGATAATATCAAATCAATTGCTAGGTCTGCTGCTAAGAAAATTGGTTCTCTGTGTGAACCTAGTCAATTTTTCTCAACAGAATCTATCTTACACATTTATGCCTGCCATTCATCCTTGCTTTGAATACTGCTGCCATATCTTTTCTGGGGCTCCTGTAGTATATTTAGAAATTCTTGATAAAAATCCAAAGAATAATCTCCAATGTTATTGTTCCTGACCTGGCATCTCACCATCAGTCACTTTCTCACCACCATAATGTAGGTTCCCTCTGCCTTTTCTATAAATATTTTCATGATAATTATTTTGATGAACTTTCCTATATTGTATGTAGACTTTATAAATTTAAGCAGAGTACTAGATTGGCAGCAAGGTTTCATCATTTTACAGTTAAAATGTCTAGATGTAACTCTAAGTTCTATGCTAACGGTTTCTTTTATCACACTTTCCACTTGTGGAACTCTTTTCCGGCTTTTTGCTCCCCAGTTAACTTTGATCTTCAAAAATTTAAATGCAATGTCAATCATTATCTACTGTCTTCTTAATTCTTGTTCTTTTATTGCTCTCACTCTGTAATAATGGCATTTTTTTTCTCATATTCTCTAACACTCGATAATCACTTGTGTCTTAGTGGCTTTATTGCCTTGTTTGGAGTAAAATGATTAAAAAAAAAACAAAAAACATGGCTTGCAATAACCAAGTTGTACTAAATAAGATGAGGAGATATCTCTAGATATGGAATGGGAAATGAGAATAAACAGTAGTTTAAATAAAGGGATCACTTGAGATTCTCTGAAGTCTGCTCAGATCAAAAGATACCTGAAGAAGGCCAGTGGATACAGTAGTTGAAACATGATAATAGCAACAAAAATGAGGCCATAAGTCTGAATGTAAACTCCTCATCCCAGAAATTCAGACAGAAGCTAAGTAAATAATAAATCAGATATAAATAGATATCTAAAGCATTAAATTATGTATTTTATACCTAAAGCCACAGCCTGAATTTATTCTTATCTAAAGCCTGATAGACAAATTCAGTAATAACCATTAACACATTTGTGGTAGACCTAGAGAAAGGAAAGCCATACTGTTTATCCAAAAGAAGAATGTGTGACATCAGATGCTTAACCAATTCAGCATTGATTAGAACCTTTAGCACTTTGCCAAAAAGAGGTAAAAGACAAATAGGGGGGGGGGATAATTTGAGAGCTCAGAAGGTTTACCAGAGTTATTAAAGACAGAAACTACAGAGGAGGATTTCTAACAAGCCAGAAAGCAAGAAGCAACAAGGCATTTGTTGTAGAGTTTGGAGAGAACAGAAAATATTGGTTGGTTAATATCAGTTTTATTGTGAAAACATTGACTTGCATAATAAAATTTGCCTGTGTACATGGATAAAACAATACTGTTCTTTTGTTGCCTTTTAAAGACTGGAATGGGGAAGAATAAGATAGAACAATTATTTTGGCTCACATTTTTTGTTATTTGTGTCACATTTGTAAATCAGAAATGAGGAACTAACAGGAGAGAGAGAGAGAGGGATTGAAAGTAGAAAGAGAGAGAGATTAAAAGAAAAAAGATAAAAAAAACCAAAGTGGATAATATAAAATAAAAGAAAGAAGGAAGTTAGTGTAAAAGAAAACTGGAAAGTAATATAACTTACTTTAGTGCCAAACATATGAAAGCCTTAAAATGGGAGTCTTCTGTCCTTTTTAGGGGAGTGTGAGACTGAATAACTGTGTCAATGGCTCCTAAGAGAGTCTGTTTGGCTGTGATTGGTTTGCCTCCAACAATATCTAAGTGGAATGATTGGGATAATTTACGAGCTGGAGATTCATTATATTCTTTCCCATGCTGAAAAAAAAAAAAGAAAAGAAAAAGGAAATATGGAAAATTTTATATTCTTTGTATCAGATATTTCATAATCAAGAGACAGTTATTCCAAAATGTATTTCATGCATTTATTGAAAGTAGTAATTAAAAATGGCATTCAATGCAAAATTATGTTAAAAAAAAGGAAATCTAGCAGAAAAGAACTAATTCATTTTTAGTAATCAACACTGTAAATTTTAAGTGATGTATTTATTTTTATTTATCAAGGCATCCAAATTCTTACTCATTCCAAAATTGATTTTGAAAGCAATGACAATTAGGATCAATGAAAGGCACAACAAATATTGTCAAAATTCCTGTCATTTTCATTTGAAGCACAATTATCCTGAATGAAAGCCAAACCAATTATTGTCATCTATTCCAAGACAAATCAATCAGTTTTTTTTCTTTACAAGTCACTTGCACTCATATCCTTGCTAATGTTTATCCAGTTTCAAACTAATATGTGTGCTGATTTTTTCTCAAGTTCCAAATTCATGTTAGGTTAGTTTTCTTTGCTCTTAGAGACAATTCAAATTCTAAATCTCAAACATTCTTGCAGACAGTGGAAATCCAGGTGTCAGTCTGAAAATAATCCTGCTACATGAAATGACTATGCCAATATTTATTCTAATTGTCTGAGAATGTAGGAACAAAATGGTAAGAATCATAGTTTTCATCCTTTGAATGTTTCCGTCTTCATATTTTGATCTTCTAAACATAACCACATAAAAACGGAATTCTATATTGGGTCTACTTATGAATTGCTTTTGTTTACAATCCTGAAGAAGGTCAAAGAATGCTTCAGTTCAAATGCAATAATATAAAACAACAACGACAATAAATTGACAAGACTAAATGAGCTTTGGGCAAAGAAAGCACAGACATTCTGTTATATTCCATGCTAATACTTGCAAAACAAGGTGGAGAAAATAAGTAAAGGTTTATTGTAAAAAACCAGTACAATAAGAATAAAGGTAACAGTTATGCACAAAGTCGTACTCAACAGATCCCAGCTAGCCTCTGTAGTCTGTTGACTTACAGATACTTATAGGTAGTTACAAACTATAGTGTAGTCAACTCATCTGGGTGACAGGTTATTCCATTACATCACATTCACAGGAAGTAAATGAGAAAAGAATTTAAAAGAAAGAAAGGAAAACTTCCAACAAACCTTCATTTCATAATATTTAAGAAGAAGATCCCAGGCATGCATCAATTTGGTGGTTCCTGCTGATCTATTGGGGAAACAGCCCCACGTTACAAGACTATTACTTTGACCCAGCTAACAAAAGGAAAGAAAAAATATGTCATTAATAAAAGAAAAATTAAAATTTGCAGATTTCTTGAAAGAAAAAAAAAATTGCCTTTTTTATTGAAAAATAATTTTACCGCAGTGTGGAAGATATGATTCAGATGATTATGCTATCAAGGTTGACAATGAGTGTAATAGTTTTTTGCTGCTATTATCTGGGAATAGAAAGTAGTTATGAGAGAATTGTTTGTTCAAGTTCTCACACTTTTCTATATCAATCATTGTGGCAGGTCAATGATAAGAATAATATTTTGGAAACAACAAAACAAAATTCAGGAAAAAGTGGATTCCATTTTTTTCTTCACCTTGTGTCTTTAAAGATATCTGCAGATGAAATATTCACCAAGTTTATTGCAATTTAGGTGAACTGGATTTTTATTTGTTGTCATCTTGAAATATGTGTCCAAAGAGGACCATCAATTATTCTCACCTATGAATTTCTATAAGGTCTAAGTTATCAATTAAGCTGTTTAGGTCATTCAGATCAGATATTGTTGCCACTGATACATATTTATACCATCACATTTGGGATTTGTTACAAGTATGTGAGTAAATTGATGGTTACTAAAATAAAGAAAAAAAAATGACCACCAATTAGAACCAGTGGAAAATTGTGAAAAAAAAAAAAATTATATTTATAGATAATGAAAAAAAAAATCTTTTTAATCAATTCATCCCAAGCAAGGCAATAATGTCACCAAGACACAAGGGGTTACTGGGAGTGAAAGAGAATAAAAAAAACTTTAGAAGGAACCAGAAACACAAACCAAAACATGAAACAAAGGATAAGCCTCTACTTCTGTTCAAAAGATTGGAGAGGTGTGTGAACTGGATGACAGGCAAACCTGTCTACATCCATTGTCTATTTATGCTTATATAATCTTAATCAAGAATTTCATCCAAGACAATATGTTCTTTGGCAGAAAGATTCCACTTTCATTGTTCTCTGCTCTGTTCTTACATTTTGCCCTGGATTTCAAAAACAAAGTCTGTCACTGGCTAAATAATGATGTGGGGGTGGGACAAGCATAATCTCAACTTGTCAGAACTTGATCTTGGGCCTCCTTTATTGTTACCATATAGAATAGTATTTTTTCATTGGCAACAGAAACATTAACAGATCTTTGGATCTGTTAATGTTTCTTTTTTAATTTTTAATTTTCTTTTTTATATTTAATCCACACTCACTTAGGATTTATCTGAGTCTTGCTGTCAATTTCTTGGATTTACCTCAACTAAACCGTGCTGCATCAAGTCCCGGACAGACATGGCCAACTCTTTCCGTACCACTTGGGTCAGTGCTTGGCTGCTGGGGGGAATCTGGTCCTGCAAAAGAAAATGCCTTGTGATTGGCATGAAAACCAATTGATACAAAAAAAACAAACACTACATATAGAATGGGTTAATGAATACAATGTTATGAGTTTTGATAACAATTTTTAGGTTTTATTATCTTTCATGTTAAAATATGTCAAAGATAAAGGGTGTCATCTTCCCCACCCACCTTGATACTTTTAAGGAAAATAAATAGTTTAAAGCTATTTCAAGGTTAACAGGTACAGACACACCTGAAGAAGTGTCAGAGGATACTTAGACAACAAAGATAAGGATATTAAAAAATAATCATTGAATGACACGTTAAATAACTTTAAAGTTATTCCAGGCTAATTCATTTTTTTATTATTTAATTAATAATAATAAAAATATTTTTAAATTGAATAGCTATAATAATTTTCTCAGTAGTGCAACATTCATATGGGTAATCAAGTACTGATCAGAATTTTTATTGTTCCTTATTTACCTAGAAGTAATATAAAAAGTTTCATTTTTGTCTTCAGCAACAAAATAAAAAATTCATGTGCATTATATATTATTGTTTTTGTCTTGTCTGGTTTTCCATATGTCTGTACATCGAGAGCACTCCTTTCGACTGAAAAAAAGGTTGGTGTTATATAGCTCTCTCAGCCCCAGACCCACGTTGACTATTGACTAATACCTAGGTGTCCAGTATTGTTTGTATGCAAATTTTGTCAGCACCACCTACTGTAAGTAGAATGTACTCTCTCAACAGCCAATTGCGGAAGAGGACGTAACTCCTGGTGCTTACTGCATCATACACAACTAATTCTGGATCTCTTGTCAGGTCGACCTGATTCTCCATTACATTTATGTCATTTTTATTTCATTTTAAAATTTTGTTGGGAAATTTTAATTTTTCAAGTAAAAAAAAAAACAAACAAAAAACTTGCATATAATATGAATGGAAAAAGAGAAAACAATCAAATCTACATGTGAATTCCATTGGTTAGTATATCTGAATAGATGTAATCATAAGAAAGATTTTTATTTGAAATATAACAAAAAAATTGTACTGAAATGTATCACTTGTATAATTTTATACACAGAAACTAAAACTGTAATATGCTGAGTGTATTTTGATTTGCTCAAAATTAATTACAGTAAATGGATTACAATAAATGATCATATACAGAGATCAATACATGTACAATGTCCAAAATAAATGGTGTAACAACAATGTTCAGAGTCCCATATTAATGCACCATCTATCCTCCTTGGGTATTAAAACAAACAGATGGTTGATAAAATTCTGCAATACATTGCAATTATTCATGCAATAAAACAAGTTGTAGGTGAGCTAACTGCATGAGTCAGTTGTCATATCATCATATCTCATACATGTTCAATGGGGGATTGCACTGGCCAGAAACATTCTTGAACATCTTGCAGGAGAAGGATGGGCATCATATGAGCTGGCATTATTTTGATGGAACAGCATATCTTCGTGAAAGGAGTTGAATAATGTTCTGGATGCAACTAATGATATTCAAAATTCCCTTCACAAATACCAAAAGTAAGCAAAATTTAAATTTATGCACACCACATGGATTGGGCCTGTATGTCATGGGTGGATAAACACTGGAAGATGCTATGTCCCAGGTCAATGACACACATGCAAACAATTGTCTGTATGAAATCCAAACCTGTTCTCAGCACTGAACACTAACTACATTTGAACTCTAAGGTGACACTCTCACAATACCACTGGAAATGCCCATAATGGTATTGTGTGGTGTAAATTGAAGTCTCGTTAGAGGCATGTTTACTCATGTCTTGCAGCAAATAAATCATTTCTAATAGTATAGCATCCTTCAGTGTGGTGCAATTTTATTTTCTCTAGGTCTATTTTGGTTGATTGCAAAACTATTTCGAAACCTTAGAAGAATGCACAATTAAATACTGATATGTCCACAATTACAGAATACATCTGTATGTGTGTGTATATATATATATATATATATATATATATATATATGTGTGTGTGTGTATTTTTATTACTTAAACTTCTTTTTTTTTTTTAGCATATACCCATATTTGAATTGAGACTCATTTTATTTATTTATTTTCATCTACTGGCCTGAATATTCGAGAAATCTTATTAAAGAAAAATATGCACTCTCTGACAGGATTCGAACTTGCACCCCTCTGGGCAGAGGAAACCATTGTTAAATCTGACATGCTTTAGACCATCTTGGAATAAAATAAACAAGCACAAACATATATATATATATATATGTAGGTAGATGAAATAAACACTATTATATATATATATAAAATATTATAATTATTTATTTAAAAGTATGATTCCTCTGCTACATAAGAGTTCTCATGTTTCAAAAACAAGAGCTGAAAACTTCAATATAATTATTAGAATTAAATTGAATTCAAGTACCAAGCTCTGTTTCATCTTCAAGCAAAATTTTCAGAATAACTAATCTTGAAATTTATGTGTCTTTATAAGCATATTCATTATTAAAATTAAATTACTATGGAAACGGCTAGAGCAATTATTTAAATAAGGGGTGTAAGGGTTAATAATTTGTATCAATATATTAGTTACTTTCGGAAAAAGGTCAAGTCAAGGTAGGGTTAGGGTGTCTAAATTAAAGTGGAAGATGACATTTAAACTCATACCATCTAGTATGGTTCACCATTAAGTGTCTATGGAGATTTATTTATTTTCAATTTTTTCTAAAAGGGTTGTGTGTATATAAAAGTGTCGTATTGAACTACAATTTCTTTTTTTGATGACTTCATAGAGGGTTTTTTTATCTTATGATTGGGTTGAACTTTTAAACCTTTTATTTAGACTATGGAATTTAAAGTTTGTATTTATTATTTGTTTGTTTGTTTTTTATGCTAATTATTTAATGCGAAAATTTGTTGATGCCAGCAAAAAAAACCATTAACTCATGTTTGTGGTTTAATAAATTTTCATTATTTAGAAACTTAATAATGTGTAGTTTTTCATGTAGGCATAAAGGGCATGGGTCATCCCAGGTTTTACAAGTTCTTGTTCTATTTATAATTTTCCATTTTACTTTTGGTGTTTTATTCATTTCTTTTAAATGCCAAAAATATTTGGATAGGGATGTCTGATTTCTATTTCTAATATTGTTGAAAGAGCTTTTGTGCTGTCTCCACCTGGTTTTAAATTCATTTTTTGTAGAATCAATATATATCATATTGGTGTTAGGACTCTCAATGGATGAGATAGTGCACGGTATACTACAGATTTTATGCTGCATTTATTTTCCAACGGGCTGTCGTCAGGGTTTCTACAATCACATAATTTTTCATTATTTTTGTCTAATTTAAGTTTAGGTTTTTTATTAATATTATTTTGGCATGCATGTTTTTCCAGGATTTTATTATTGTATTTTTTATTATACTTTCTAGATTTTCAGTGCAATTGTAACTTAATTTTAAGGTGTTTTTATTAAAGATTTTTGCTAAGTCTGCTATTAGTAGGAAAGTGTTTTTCAATTAAAGCTAGGAATTTATGTCTTAGTTTAATACTAACCATTTGGTTGAATGGAGGGATATACCAAATGATTTTTCTTTTCCTGTTTTTCTTCTGGTTAGTACAATTGTTTCTATAATTGATGTTAGCATTTTTGTATCAGCTGTTAAAAAACAGAGCTGTGTTATAAAAATGACTGTGTTGTTGGAATATTTCTTTATTAGCAGAGTTCATGCTGATTCTTTTCTCTATTGATGAGGGTATATGCTTAATTATGGATGGAGGGTGGTTTGACTTAGGGTCTACATACAAGGAGTTAGCATTAGGTTTTCTATAAGGTAGGTATATGTTGTTCATTAAGTCCAGAGTTACGTTGAGGAAGTTTACCCTTTTCAATTTTGTATCGACTGTAGTTTTTAAATTAAGTTTTCTGAATTCACTATATATAATCTTTCTAATTTTATCTATTTTAAAATTAGTGGAACTCCTCATTACCATGATCCTGTCATCTCTGTATAGCCCGATCTACTTAATGTCTAATTCACAGAGCGCAGTTAGGTTTCACACACACATATTATACACACACACATACACACACGCACCTTGATGAGTGAACAAAGTGATTGTTGGAGGCTCCATGAAGGTAATACCAATTAGCTAAGTGATAAACTTTATATTTCATTTTTTATTATATATTATATATATATATATATATATATATATATATATATATATATATATATATATAAAAAAATGTGTGTGTGTGTGTGTGGCCTGAAAATTGTGTTCAAGGATGAAATGAAACAGACTCTCACCATTTGGTGCTGACCTCAGTGTCCACTTTTATATTTTATATTTACGTACTATGATACTGAGTATTTTTATTCATAAATATAGCATACCATAAAACTATATTTTTACCATATATAAAACACACACACGTATTTGGACTTCTATAAAGTTATACACCATACTTTGTTAATGTCTTTGAAATTTATTTCTCTTTTCAGTATCACTTCTGAAATATGAGTTGTTATTAAAAATTTTTTTCAAGCCTGATTTACAGCTGGGAAAAAAAAAACTGTTACAGACTTTGAAGCTGATAAAAATGAATGTACCACTTCTCTTTTTAGTTTCTGTGATATATACAATGAATAATAATAATAATAAAAAACTCAAACCTCTTCACTTTCACTATCAAAATCACTGCTGTTGGGATTGGAGGTTTGCTGTTCTGCGGCCACTTGTAACACTTTATCAATGCTTAGCTCAAGCCGAGCACGTAGATCCCTAAAACAGACAACACAGGCTCAATTGAACCCTAAGTCTTTTAAGAGAGGACACATTAGGTACTTAGAAGAATTTTTTTTCTCTTAACATGGAATTAATCAAGAAAGTATTTAAATCTTTCATTAAATCTGACATTTTTTTCATGCTGTCAATTCTTGTCTTTCTTTTTTGAAAAAGTAATTCCACATCAAATATCTACTTTAAAACTGAAAATTCTTCAAACAATAGAAATACTTTATGTATTTAAAATACTTACAGAAATGTACTAATTACTGTTTTCATCACGAGAGACTCTCATTGTGTCTGTGACCAAAATTTCTTCTCGATATAACATGTCTTTCAACAAAATATTTTCAGTGGTTTATCAGAAAAGACATTTTAAATGCTAACCAAGTTTTAAGTGTACTTTTCTTTTATTTGAATTTAGGCTTAAAAGTAACTTATTAGAAAAATGAATAAATAAATATTAACTCATTAAAAGACTCTAAATGAAAAAATTCAATTTATTCTGGTAACCAACTCTATTGGAATATGTGGAATAAAAGAGGATTCTCTTGAATATTTTTGGTTAATTCTTCACCAAATGTCACAAACAATTGAAACATTGATAAATCAACATCAAATTCAAGGGGAAAGGCACACAGAAAATCCCAAAAGTATCTTTTCCTCACCCCCAATGATTTGCCTTGGCTGTTCGTTTCAGCAAATTTCTTTGAAATTCCTGTCCTCCACATCCAAATTGAGTGATGGCAAACACTTGCAACAAGGCCAAAGCTTTCTTCATTAAAGTTAAAGTAGTTTGCCGTAAATTCTGTAAAAAAAAAAAAAAAAAAAAAAACAATTCAAAAATCAACAAAATTGTGAAACAAGTTTGAGGATCACAGACTGATCACAACATATTGGATTCTTTCTTTAGGTAAACAGAAATAATAGAAATCAAGTGCCATTTTTTTTCTGGATATTAACATTTTCATGTAAAATCTCTTCAGCAATAAAAAACAAATGGTTGGTATTATTTTGGACAAAAATTTTACCGTTTAAAATGGAATTAGAAGCAAAGCAACAGTTAACGATTTTATTTTGTATATAAAACATTTTCACTGTTTTCTAATTATCAAGTAAAAAAAAAAAATACTTTTTTTAAACTATAAAAAAAACACTTTTTTTTTAAATTATACACTAGGGTCATTCAAAGTAGAGCATTACTGAATGTGTGATATGAACATAAGAAGTTCTTAAACTTAATGGAAATCTATATTTTCACCTGACTACAGGTAGCACATTTAATGTCAATGATAATAAATGTCCAATTCAAGGATTAAGTTATAATTTATGTTTTTGCAAGATATAAAATCAGTTTTTTAATTTGATAACAAAGAAACTAATTATCAAATAGAAGATATTAGCAAAATGATGAACCCAGCTGTTATCCTACTTGAGGGAAGAAATTCTTAAAGCAATGCTTTACTTACCTCATTTGAGGCATTTTCAGAAAGGCCAAACTTGTGTGATGAAGGAATACTGCCTTTGGAGTCTATTGATGAGAAATTCTGAAGGTGAAGAATTCAATTATAAATCAAAGATGGAAAAGCAACAAAAGAGTGGCTTAAAATGTCTCCCCTCCTCGATAAATCAAAAGAAAAGAAAAAACATAAGATAACTAATGAAGGTTTTAGGAAACAAATTCCAAGAATTTCTCACTAGATAATTGGCATAATTACTTGCATCAGAACAAATAATCCATACAGCCAGTGTTCACTTAACGACTTAGCTGTTTAATGACCTCCCCACATACCAGACTTATGATAAGCTATAAAGTCTCATAACATAAAAAATCCAACCAGTTGGTATTGTGCATTGTATGAAAACTTGGAACATGACTATTTATTCATTTGGAAAAAGTGAGAAATAGATAAAAAAAATTTACTTGTCCTGTATTTAGTCTGCAAACTGAAGTTTATATACAGGGTATGATAAATAAATTGTTGTCTAACTTATGCAAAAAAGAAAATAACATGGACATCTCATTTTAACAGATATATTTACCAGAATTACACAAAAATATCTTGAAATACTGAAAAGTAAATTTATTCAATAAAATCGCCATTAGCTTCAACCAAGGCCTCCAGACGACTTTGGAATCTCCTGCAGCTCTTCAGGACAGTTTCCTTGTTTAAGTTGGTGAATGCTGCCATATTCCTTGACTTCAGTTCATCTTTGTTGTTACAAGGAGCTTTGTTGGTCTCACACATAATAATTAAGGGTCTGCAATCTGGGGAGTTAGGCGGCCAGATGTAACAGCTGATGTGGTCGCAGAAATTGTCTGACAGCCATGACTGGGTCTCCTGCTTGTGTGGCATGATGCAGAGTCCTGTTGCCATATATAGGGTCTTTCAGCAGCCACCCTCTTGACCCCAGGACAGCACTACCTCCTCAAAGCCTTTGTGTTGAGTCACCAAAAAATTTGGCAGTTCTTTTCAAATCAGAACACTCAGAGTGAGTCTTCCAAGTTGCCATATCTTCATAATGACCATTAGACTCATCCAACTCTTTCCAAATCTTTTGCACTGTCCTCAGAGTGACATCCAAACACTTTGAAATGTTTGTATTGGAGTTTTCAGCATGAATGCCAAGCAGTACAGCATGCCATTTCCAAATTTCTAGTGGAGTGAATTGCATCATAGTACTCTTTTTCTCACAGACAGTGGCCCAACTGACCCTACTATATACAGTGCAATCAACAAAATCAAAAACAAACAACGTGCATGTGCAAAATTAAAAATATAAAATGGCAACATCACACCTGGTATATAAACAGAAAATAGAAGTGATTTTAAATTTATTTGTTATGTTTCTGTTTAGTACACTACTGAACTGTAGAAATACATTAGAAATGGTGCAATGTGATATTGAAACTATCTCAAGCTGATCGACACAAACCCATTACATGTGTAGTATGCCTGAAATAGGAGTCAGGTACAACTTCTCACTTAGCAACCAGCTCATTGGAATGGAGCCCAGTTGTTAAGTGAAGAGTAGTGGCTAGAATTGGTTAGTTCATTTATCCTAAATTTCTAATCATTTTCATAAAGACAACTTTTTTGATAATTTATTAAACTTGATTTAATTTAATATTTTTATATTTGAATTTTATGGCTGCCTTCAAATCTATTTCAATTCTTGAGTTTTGCCTGTTTAAAAAAAGAAAAAAGGCCAGAATTTTTTCAGGATTTCAAATCTATGTTTGTTGCTTTCATAATTTCTTTGTCTTTCAATTTTCATTTCTTTAATGGCATACAACTTATTAGGGGAATATTTTTAAGGCTAGACAATTTCTTTTTCATTTAAAATTTCTCCACAAAAACAAAACTTCCAGAAACAATGAGAAAATCACATATTCAAAAAAGTTATTTTTTTGCTTTTAAAAAATGTAAAGAATTTTTCACCTTTCCATGAACTGAACATGTACAACGTTCTTTGCCGAGGGGTCCTGGACTGCTGGCTTCACCTAAGAAACAACAAATACCAACAGCGATTAAAATAATAATAGAATTTAGTTTTATTTGTGTTAAAGTGGCTGAACAACCTTTGAAGCAAGATTTTACCCAATTTACATTTAACACATTAATTTAAAAAAAAAAAATGTAATTCAATTAAGATGATACACAGAAGTTTGACAATACAAATCCAGATTCAAAATATCACTGCCCAAGACTTTTCTTTCATAAAATGGACAAGGTAAGATCTGTTTCTAGTTTAATTTTACTAAGTTTAAAAAGTTAAAAAAATGTGCATTGTGGTGTAATAGATACTGACTCGAAATAAGAAATTAGAGAGGTGAGTTTGAATTTGTCACATTCATTTACATGCAAATATCCTTGGGAAAGGTATGAGTACATCTCTTCTTCCCTCCTCCCTCAGTTATGGGTTAAATAGCAGGACAGACTGGATCCTATAGCTTTGATTGGCAACCAGTCTACTGCAGAAAGAAACAGCAACTTACTGTGGGAAAATATCTTACCTAATCAATGAAGAATTGAAAGAGACATGATTGTCCAAGCATGTATTATGTATGGCACTTAACCGACTGAACTTTTATTAACTAATTTGTCCGAAAACTCATTATTCCCTGTGATTTGTTTTGTTTTTTCAGATTAGTGGGCACATTTGTTTTTTGCTCTCACTGCTTTTTTGGTGAAAAACAGATCAACCAAAATGTATTGATTAAAACCAATAAGGTTCAGACAATGTCCAACTGTTTCAAATGATTTTTTTTTCTTAAAACAGAATTCTGGGTAGAAGTTATTGGAAAATTTTTACTAATCTTCCACTCGGTCTGGCACAAGGTGGCGATAGTAAGTATTCCAGGAAGGATTTAACTTACTAGCAATGGCTTGCTAGAATAATCTGCTAACCAATGCTCTATGTCAAATGCCATAGAAAGTATATATATATATATATATATATATATATATATATATATTTATTTGTATATTAATAATGCCATCTACAAATGAGAAGAAAAGAAAAAGAGGCACACTGTTACATGTGACATTGGAAATAAGACTATTGCTAGTAGATTTTTTTAAGTTTACCTGTGAAATTTCAAGAAAAATGTTTCAATAGTTTCATTGAGTTTTTACTGTTCTAGCCAGGAAATAAAGTGGAATAAAAAGAAAAACAAAATCAGTTTATGTTTGAAATTAATTTTTTGGCTGACAAAAATTACAGTTTTTAAAAAAATTCCTTTAAGAAAATCTTTTTTAAAAATCATTTCACCCCAAGCAAGGCAATGAAGCCACTAAGCCACAAGGAGAGGGTACTGAGAGTGAGAGAATATGAGAAAAAGAAAAAATTAGAGAGAGAGAAAATAAAAGGACAGGATTTAAGAAGGATTGACATTGTATTTAAATTTACATCAAAGCTGACTGGAAAGCAAGAAACTGGAAGATAGTTCCACAAGCAAGAAACTTACAGTTACATCTAGCCATTTCAACTGTAAAATAATGACCTTTCTGTCAACCTAGTAATGCACTTTAATTCATAAAATCTAGGTACCATAGAGGAAAGCTCATCAGAACAATTACAATGAAAGTATTTATAGAAAAGCCACAGAGAAGCTATATTATGGCAGTGGGAAAGTGACTGATGCCAGGTCAGGATCAATAACATTACAGATTCTTCTTTGAATTTTATCAAGAATCTCTAAATAAGTAGCAGAACCACCAGACCAGATGTGGCAGCAATATTCAATGCATGGACAAATGGTAGACTTATAAAATGTGTAAGAGAGATTCTGTCAAGAAAAATTGTCTAGCACGATATAGTGATCCATGTTTCTTATCCCAGCTAACAACAGATTATAGATCATTTTTTAGATCAACTACAAATTTGACTTTATCGAGCTGATCAACCTTGCCATTAAGACAGGAGTAAATAGCTGTGTCATTATCACAGATACCAAGTTGAGAACTGATGACATCAAGATTCAACTTAGTAAATTTACCTGTAGAAAAAATAGGAGAGAACTCACCTTGTAAAAATTGAATAAACCTTTCTAAATCTGTGATTTGTGTTTTTAATTGTTCAACTAGTTTGCCTTTCACTTTAGCCGGATTAACAATCTGCAAAGAGAAAAGTAACAACAATTCAAGTTTGAAAAATTGAAAAAGTTTTCATTAAACACAATTAAAACTTAACTTCAAATCAGTGACAAGCAGCCCAGCATTACAAATTAGTGAAGGTTGAAAATAAAATGAAACTTGGTTAATGTATTTATGTTTAATTTTGACAACACAAAGAACTAAGAAAAAAATAAGTGGGAAGCTTTCCAAATAATTTCAAAGTGATAAGCCTATCACTTACAAGATGATTACTTTTTCAGATTTACTATAAATTTATTTGGTAATAGGTACCAAGGTATCAAAAAGTTGGCTGAAATAAGGATCACAGTGAAAACATTGGAAAATTCTCTGGGTGCTATTGTCTAAGTACACTTAGAAGGTACTATCTGGAGACAAGTCTCCATTGTTAAAGTTTTTCTCCCGCAAACAAAATGAATGAATTTGCATAGTTGTAAATTGTAATTACCTGTCCTATGGCCCCCAACCTGACACCAGCTTCATTTTAATTATTCACTCACCTGCCCTATTGCTCTGTCCACAACATCTTTTAATTGTTCTGTACTGAAAAACAGAGAACATTTCAATTTTTACAATAATTTGGTGGTGGAAAGGAGAAATGGTATCTTTCTTATAATGTTTCAAAAAATTAAAAAAAGAAAAAAAAGGAAAAAAAAAGAGAAAAAAAAAGAAGGAAATACAGCAAAGGGTTAAAGGCAATTATAAACAATTAAAATGAAGAAATCTGCTTCTAACTAATGAACTAGGGTGGCTGATTTTCTTCATATTCCAATGTTTATTTAAATCATTTTTTGAATATAACATTCTGAATGAATTAAATTTGAAGTATTAACAAAATTAATCACACTTAGAATGATGGTTTGAGAGTTGTCATAAAAAGAATCAGTAATAAGATAAAAGAAATAATAGTAAAAAATGAATAACAATTGACAATCTCTCATCTAAGAAATTAGAATAATAGAATAATCAATACTATTTAATATTTTATGTTTTAAAGTTGTCTGATGGACAAGGTGGTGATGATGATCATCATTCTTTTTCTACTAATATCACTATCATGATTTATGCAAGTAATGCCGATTTTATAAGACTGCATTTACTAATTTATCAGAAGATATCATCCTTTTTCAGCAGCCAAATAAAATCTTTTCTTGAACTTCAATTACAAAATGAAAATAAAATAATTACCTTAAGTGGTCAAAATTTTCCAGGTTAAGATCAAGCTTAGTTTTCAACTGGTCAATAATAACTCGTTGTTTCTCCATCATCTGGCCAGTGGGAAGACCAGCCTCTCCATTCTAAAATAAAAAGAGAGAGAGAGTGAGAGAGATATATTATATTATGATTTGATGAAAACTTGTATTTGATCATGAAACAATTTGTCTTTTGCATATATTTATATATTTACTGTAAGCTGAGATCTTAAATTGCTATTTGTAATACTATGGACATCCACATAGAAAAGGAAGATGTGATTTTATCTTGATATCAACTGTTTGTTTTATAGCCAACAGGTGGTTACTTTTGAAGTCTGGTTTTTGAAGCAGCATTTGTTTTGACTGAGGGGAACAGGGAAGTAATGGAGTGGATGAGAGGTTTTTGGAGACCAAGTGACAAACAAATCCAGAAATAGTTAACAGTCATACTTGAGATCAGGAGGGAGCAGTTCCTGTCTGCCCTTCATGGGAGACAGATTTTTTCTGTCCCATGGTTCCAATGCCACCTGTTCGTACTGCCAGCCACATCAGAAGTTGATAGGGGGAGGAGCTGATCTATGAGATCAATATAGAAGTTGTCCAAAGTATCACCTATATACCAACCAACCCACCCACCTAGGTGAACAGGTGAAACCCTAAATAAAACATTTATATATAACATGGGAAACAGGGTTTGCATTCTTATTTCTCAATGTGCCATTTGTCCTTCATCTTGTTAATTTGTGAGCATGCAGCGGGTCCTTTCCTAGTGTACAGTGATGAGATCAAAAATTGAAATGTAACGTGGAGTAATCCTTGGCCAGTTGGTGGTAAGTTTAGGTGAGGTTCATGTTGTATGCTAACAACTTACATATATAAATATTAATTATGCTCTCAGCCTCAAAAGAGAATTTCATAAATGGTGCTTTCATTTATTTTACTAAAATTTGGCATTTATTAAAAATATACTCAGTTAAAATTACTCTGTTTACAAAAAAAATGCACATTCCTTTCACAATGACTCATACTCCAGAAGCACAAGATTTGCTAGATTTTGAAAGATGGGGAAGCATTATTGGTCATTGTATAGGTGGAATGATTTAATGGAAGACAAATTAATCTCTAGACATTTCTAGGCACACATCTTTACATGCTTATTTTTGTTTCACATTATCTCTACATGGCTTCTATTTTCTGAAATACTTTCTCTTATTGGAAGTATAATTAATTTTTTTCAAAATAAAGTTATTTTGTAATTTTGGAAATTCTTCTTTTCACTTTGAATTCCATGAAGGAAAGAAAGAAAACTGATGTATATCTCTCTCTCTCTCTCTCAGATGAAAGCACAGATACCAAAGAAAGTATCTGCAACTGATGAGATGGCAGGGAACTGACAAATATTCTACTTTGCAAGGCAGCAGAGTGTGTCAAAACCAGTCAAGAACTGTTGAACAGCAATTTCAGGGTAGAGCAGCCAGAAAAAAGACACTTTTTAAATCAGTCAACATTCAGCAGAAAAAGAAATTAGTAACTAAAAATGTGGACAGATCAATGAATTTTGGAAAATTGAAATTTCTTTTTTTTTGAGGAGCAGTTTTTTGTTCAATTTCCCAAAGGTGGATAATAATTGGGCATAGCCCACCATTAAATGTAACAGACATTTACTTATGATGAGCACAGATTGTTTGTCTGGATTATCAATTTAGAAATGTATGTATTGTGCAATTGCAGGGGCGGGGGTGAGACTTCTAAAAAAATATTCCTTTATGATTATTTGAACAACTTCTTCATGTTCATTGAATCAATAAATATTGAATTATGTAAGTCACCAATAAAAAATCAATATTCAGTTATAAAAAAATATTTACCTAAAACATTCCAGCAACTAAATCTCTTCAAGTGTATTCAATACTGATATTTTTTATGTCTCGGTTACAGTGGACAACATGTGCGGTCAGAGTAAAATGTGTATCTGGCATGAATTATAATCTACTTTCCTTTAATAAAGACAGACACTGATGAGAAAGGAAATGCAAGATTTTAGTATCAATTCAGAACCCAAGCTCATTGTCAAAGTCTCAAGAACAAAATGGCACAACAACTTGATGCAGTTTTGTAAAAGAAAATAGGCACTGCTGGCACTCATCTTTACTTTAACCAAATGTAAGATACTGCCACTTGATGCATGATATACTATTCAAGAACTGACCAGAACAATTCATTATCATATGGCTTAACTTTGTCAGAGACAATATCCCATAATATAAAGCAGGGCCTGTGTGTCCAATTGGTCAGATATAAACAATAAATTCCACTTTTAAATGTAGAGTACTATATTTGGGTACTTCTCTGATAGCTGCTGATAATAGGATCACATCTTCTGTTAAATGGGTAAATACAATCTTACAAATAATGACAGTGAGTGATATTAGTAGAAAGAGAACAATGATGATGATGATCATCATCATCATTACCATCTTATCCATCAGGCAACTTTAAAATAAAAATTAAATAGTATGTATAATTTTAATATTATTCAAGTTTGTTTGATGAGACATTATCAATTGTTATTTTTGACATTTTTCTTTTTAAATGGCGACAAAAATGTCTTTTGATGTATCATAACGGAAATCTTAGCACCTCAAGAAGACTGTTGCCAATTTCAATTCTTACTTTAAAATGAGAGCACAGTCATTTTGGCTAATGCAATAATTCCATCAAAACCATAAACATGCTCAATTTAAACTGATAGCCTTCTTTTCAATTATTCTGATGGGCTTTTCTCTTTGGTGCCTCAACTGCAGTAATTTAAGTATGCTAATAGATTGGATCTCAACATTTTACTGTTGAACTAGCTAGATGCTACCTTCTGATCTATTCCAATAGTTTCTTTTCTCACATTTCTTGTCTGTGGAATTCCCTTCCAATTTATTGCTTACTTTCCACCTACAATCTTCAAAAATTTAAGTTCAATGTAAATCGCCATCTATTGTCTTCTTGAATCCTACTCTTTTATTGTCCTTTCTCCTTCATTGAAGTTTTCTCATTCTCTTTCATTGTCAGTAACCCTCTGCATCCTAGTGGTATTATTGCCTTGCTGGGGGTGAAATGCATCTATGTGTATTGCTAACAATAAATATTAGTTCCAATAAAATAAAGTATTTCAGAAAATAGAAGTATGAGGAGATACATGTGAAACAAAAAATAAGTATGTAGAGATGTATGCATAGGAATGTCTAGGAATTAATTTGTCTTCCATAAATAAATATATTAATTCCATCCTTGAAATATCCTTTGGCTTTTTAGCATACTTGACAGATTCATTTTCAAAAAAAAAAAAAACAAAAAACAAAAAAAAACATTGTGTAAATTCAGATTTGCAACCAATACTGGCTACCAAGTGTGAAGTTTCTATAATAAACCACATTTAGAATCATTTTTGAAACTATAAACAGAAACAAGCAATGTGATTTAACTAAACAAATAGGATTATGCATTTATGGCAGTACAGTGGTTAGTATGTGGGGAAAATTGTGAAAATGGCCTACCTCGGAAACGCCCACGAATCTGTGCATTGTGCAAACTCTGGCTGCTCAACGGTAAAAGAAACAAAATGGCGGCACCCATGTTTTATGCCAGGTGGTCTCGGACAGTTAACACGGAAACTCGTTGTCTCATTATTCGCATGCAAATTATGGTCAGTCCTCGGCTGTATAAAGCAGGCGCATTTTTGTTTCTGGGCACTTGTTTTTTTTTGCTCATGAGAAGGTTGGACGTGTGACACTATTTTGTCATTTACCCCCCTTGCTTTTTCTATCTGCTATTATCAGTTGAGTCATTGCTTTACTACAACAGTTAGCAAACCACTAACAATGAGTTAAAGTAGACATTTTATAAATGTTGCCTTGTGCCAGACTATCCAAGTAAATGTGGTCACATTTCTTACCTCATATGCATACATCTCCAGATCTTCCAGTTGAGTTTTCAGTTTGCTGATTAATTCTTTCTGTTTTTCACGCTGAACAGACAACTTGGCCCCTTGTTCACTATTGTTCTGTAGACAAAAGATATAAAAACAAAAGGTAAGTAGTTCAGACATAAGAAATAACGTTTATGTGAATAAAGTCAAGAGTCAAAACAAAAATCATATTGCAAGTGTATAAATATAGGATATAAATTAGATGCATATTTTTCTCATAAAATGACTGAAAAGAATTGAAAAGAAAAAAAAAGAAATGCTTATATGTCAAAATGCTTCTTTAAGCTCAAATCTGGCTTTTATTAGTGGTTTCTGTCTGAATTTCTGGGTAGGAACAAAGACACATTGGGAACTGTTCAAATAACTTAGGTTCAAAACATGAAAACAAGAAAATAAAAAGTACTCAGAGATTTTGAGATCTAGACCAACTAATTTATCTAAGGGAGAAGATTGGATTTCATTGTTGTGAATAGGGAAAAGAAAGCCCACCAAAATGTAAACATCTGTATCATTATTTACATTTGGACTATTGTCCTCATCTTTGTTGTTGTTAAGACAATGTTTTGGCTGTTATGCTCTCTGGCCTTCATCAGGTGTATATCAATCTGGGAAACCTTTAGGGAATTCTGAACTAGTGGATTAAAGTGTGAATTTACTGACATAGTAATTTAGTTCAATCTCTGGGCTGGGCAGTGTGTACTCAATGGAAACAGGCAAGCAATAACAGAGCAGTACTAACAATAAAAACTAGACTAGAACTCCCTAGACATGATCAGTAGAACAAGAACAGTCTGCCCCTGTAGATTAAATAAAGGGATCAGTTCAGAATTAACTGAAGCTTACTTAGATTGATATACACCTGATGAAGGCCAGAGGGAACAATGGCAAAAATGTTGCATTAACAACAAAGATTAGGACAATAGCCATTTTATTAGTGGCATTTTTTGAATATTTTCTGCTGAAACAAAGGTTCAGTTTTTTTTGCCTATGCATGTTGTTGCCCTAATTATAACCAATATTAATCTGAGACCTGTTACTTATTCCAATCAAAAAATGGCAAAAAATTTACAGTAACAGAACAGAATTAAGAGACAACAAGGAAAAAAAAAGGAATATCTATCTCTTGTGTCAGTTCTTAAAGATTGACTGTATTAATTCACAAATGGATAAGTCAGTATATGAAAATATAAATAATACAACTCATGATTTCTAATAAAATTTTAAAATAAAACAAAAAGACTTTATTCATAAATTACAAAGGTCTTTATAACATCAAGAACAAAAAAAAAATCTCTTTAATTACTACTGACTTCCTGCAAGGTTAAATTTTCTTCTACTTATGCTGCTTTCCATCAAATATTACTGGAGGAAATGAAATAAAAAAAAAAACTAATGGGGAAAATTCCAGCTGCTGAGAAACGAGGACTTGATAAACCTTAGAGGTCCATAGTCAGGGGACGTAATTCATGACAAAAAGTGTGAAATGATTTCATCTATCAATATATAAGATTCTATGACTTGTTAGTCTATCTGTTACACCTTCTAAAATAGCCATACGTTGACCGATCAAAATCAAATTTTAGGGAGAAGTACAAACAGATAAGGGGGTTCAAAGCACAATTGGTTTTACTATGATGCATAACTTAGTACAATAAATTTTCATTCATTTTTTTTTTTTGAAAAATTAAGTTTTATTATTTAACATACAAAATACTCACACTATTTTAAAAAGAATTTAATGATTAAAATAATACTTATTTAATAAAAATGAAATATTGTTTTTTGCATATCTTTTCTTTAAGTTTTTATATTTCATCAATTGGTTTGTGAAATTGAACGAAATATAGTTTGTAAATCCTGATAAAAAATGTTAGCGATAACTTCAACAATACTAAATACTATCAGGATTTCAACATGTGTCAGCATGTTGCAAAAAAAAATTCAAGTTGATAGAAAATCAGAAAACGTTTTCAGTTTATTATAACTAATAACATTGTGAAAGGCATGAAACTAATTGTCGCTGTATTTTCAGGTTAACCATCTAGACAGTTTTGCTATTAGCAAGACATAAAGGGAATATTGAAAGAGATAATACAGATAATCTTGTGCAAGCCTTTTTTTTTTTTTAAATCCAGTATGTAAATATCAATTTCTTAAAAAGAAAAAGTGTTGAGATCTTATTTGGTAACAAATAAAGTGTAACTCTCAGATCAACCTGTAACAAACTCTTTTCATATTTGATAGTTTAGTGGTTGTATTTTTCTTAATACTGTGTAATGCTTTAGCAACAGTTTTCCATAACATCTATACAAACACTTCTAAATAATTTTATTACTCTCTTGATAATTACATCTCTTTCATCTTTCATAATATACTCTCCTCCAACATTAATTATCGCTATTAACAAAGCTCTAGTCCGTTTTCTTTCTTTGAATTGATAAATTGTGGCACAAGAAAGAACACATTGTCCTTTTCTATGTGCTATGTCTCTTCCTCTGTCTCTTTTGTGACTGTCAAATTCTCCAAGCCCCTATGTACCAGGAACTCATCATGTACTTTAGAAATTTCAGCTGTCTCTTTCTGGTCCTAAATAGAAATATCGATTTTGCTTCCATTTTCCTTAAAACTTCCACATTACACACATGTTCAGTTCATGGTATTTTCAATTCTATTTTCATTCACATAGCTAAAGCCTGGGCCAACTTGAATAAAACAGATATAATCTGGAAGTCTCATTTAGCAGACAACCTCAAATGGAGCTACTTTTGCACCACTGTAGAGTTGGATTTAATATATTGTGCCACTGCTTGGACATTAGCTAAAAACTGTGAGTCTAAACTTGATGGAATCTACATTCAGATGCTGAGAGCTATACTTAAAATCTCTTGGAAACAACATCCAACTAAATTGCAGCTCTATAGATCTATCCCTGATATTTCTACAATCTTATGCGAAAGCAGAATACACTTTGCAGGACACTGCTGGCAAGCAAAACAAGAACTTGTGAGTGATCTACTACTCTGGACACTTTAGCCATAGCACAAGAGAGGTTGGTTGCCCAGCAACTACCTACATTGACCAACTATGTAATGACACAGGATGTCACCCTAATGACGTTCCGATTTTGATACAGGAGTGTGATGGTTGGTATGATAGACTCATAAATGTCTGAGCTAGCTTGATCAAAAAAATAATAATTGTCAGTAAAGTCAAAAAGCTAAAATATGCACAATGATAATTTTGCCATTACTTCTGGTGATGTTTGGATCCCAGGCAGATAATGTCATGCATGAAAATAATATTCTATATTAAGCAGCACAAGTTATCAGAATAGATTGTATTATTTAAGCAAAATACCAAACAGAGTTAATATCAAAATAATATTGTCATAATAACAATACAAAAGTATAGCTTAAAAAATTATTTTTTAAATCTGATTTGAAAGTGATTTTACTTTGTCTTAACAAGAGTAAATAAAGAAAAGATCTTTAAATGAAAAAGAAAGTCAAGTATTTGTAAATAACAAATATTACCAAACCAATCCCTGTTTATGATAAATTAGAAAGAAAATAAAATATTTTATTAGGAAAGAACAAGGTAGAAATTGAAGATGTAGCTTTATGTAAACACTTTAGAATTTAGTGTCAGTTTAACAATTCAACTCACAGTTCAAATACCAACAACCTAATTAGAAATCTTACTTATTTTTCTATCCAGAGTATAAATGTACTTGTTCAACTGGTAAATATATTAAATAAAAACTAGAAGAGAATAGATTGACAACAAGGTTTCATTCATTTACAATTGAATTAGCTAGTTGCAGTTGTAAGTTCTTTGTTAACAGTTTCTTTTCTCGCACTTCTCACTTGTGGAACTCTCTTCTGGCTCCATGTTTTCCAGCTAACTTTGACCTTCAAAAATTTAAATGCAATGTCAATTGTTAACTACTGTCTTCTTGAATACTCTTCTTTTATTGTTCTCACTCCTTAATAATGTTTCTCTTTTTTCTTATTCTTTCACATTCAGCAACCTTTTGTGTTTTAGTGGCTTTACTGCCTTGCTTGGGGTGAAATGATTAAAAAGAAAATATATATCTAGAAAATTAGCAATAATGATTCTTCTAGAAACACATACATGCAGAGTAAATTAGCTTTCAGCCATATATGTAATTATTGGCTGAATATTAATTTGAAATGTCAAACTGTACTTTTTGAACTATATAATTAATATTAACTTCTGAATTAAGTGCATTGACAAGGAAGAAGATTATTTTGAAAATATTTTTGAATGTAAAATAAATATAGCTGTATATTTAATGATATATATATATATATATATATATATATATATATATATATATATATCAGTGTTTATCATTTCAACTTAAGGCAGAGAATTAGAAAACAAATCAATGACACATAATGCAAATGACAAGAGAGAGAAATGATTGTACCGATATGTCATCCGTTTCATTATTGGGTAAAATACAACCAATGACATCAGGAACTCCTTGGAATGCCAGTTGTTCAAGTTCTTTTAGCAGAACCTAGGAAAAGAAAAGAGAAGGAAAATAATACAACAATCAGTAATATATCATCAAATGATAAGAAGGAAAATATCTTCAAGTTTAAAATATTAATTAACAATGTTAATAAAGATGAAAATATTGCTTAGGTTGAAAAAAATAAATAAAATGTCCAGGTGGACAAATTAATTATCCAAAGTCAATAAATGAATTTCCTCAGTTTTACTTTTATTTTTGTTCACAATGTCTTGGCTGTATACGCACTAGTATTCCTTGGATCTCTATGGTGATTCTGAATGTTGTTCAATGAGGTGCATGTGTGTGTGTGTGTGGGGGGGCATGCACATCTTTCACCACATACATCATGAAAGAAGACAGCCCAAGATAACTGGGATGCAAAAATTGGTGACATATGATGAGGAGATGTACATATGTTCCAAAGTAGAATTTAACATTCTGAAACAACAGATACCTGAAGAAGGCCAGAGGGTACACAGTCAAAATGTCGAGAAAAAAAATAAAGATGAGAAAATTAGTTAAAAGAAACCATTTACAATGATTAAAATATCTTGTCTAAGAAAATTCAAACAAAACTATCAATAAATTAATTTATGAAAAAAATAAAATGTTTTGTTTTGAATCAACACATTCATTTTTCCTTTGACCCTTGCAGCTCAAACTTTTAGAAATTGTTCATTTAGTTTACTGACCTCTTTTTCCTCTGGAGGTGCATTGACAGTTTGCTTTAATCTGAATTGCACCTGTGCAAAATGAGTGGTCAATGCTTGCAGGTAGGAATTAAGCTGTTCCTGTTGTTCTTCAAGTTGCCTCAACTGTTCAGATTCATCAATGCAATGTCTGCAAAAAAAAAAACCCAAAAAACAAATCCAGTCATAGTCTTAAATAAAACATACATAGTAGACAAAAGAAATGTTTTTATTTTTAGATTTCAAACGTTTCTTTCAGAAAAGAAATCCTTAAAATTTTATAAAATAATATAAACCATTAAAATGAATATTTTCTTTTCACTTTTGAAAAATGTTTATAAAGCAGGAGCAGTTATTTGCATGCAACTGTACTAAATCTCTTTCCATTATCTTTTGTTTTTGATTCTATAATATTTGTTTTCCCTTCAAAAATGGAGAATCTAACATTTTTATCAAGTCTGATTAATTCATTTTCAGAAATGTTTGTATGTTTATCTTTATTTTTTAAAATCCTAACAAATTGTCTTATCAACACTACATGTTTCTAGTTCTCTTAGACTTGTAGATACATACAACTAGAAGATAATAATACTTATGTGTGTAAATACTGCAGGTGTACATAGGTACGCATTTTTTATAGCACAATGGTTAGCAAGCTTTAATCTCTCAAACAATTTACTCATATAGAAACTGTAAGCAACAAAGATTATAATTTAATCAAGACTCTGATTGTAAACCTCTTTGGAAGTGAACAAGAATAAAATGAAAGGGAAAAGAAAGAATTTCTCATACTTACCCGCCTTCCACTGTAGATGGAGCAGGACTGACAGATGCACCTAAGGGGGCCCATCTCTCAGTTGGTCGATCATCATAGTTCTGATCGTCAAAACTATCATAACTCTCATCCGTAGCAACAACCGTTTCCATTATAATGCAGATTAATGCAAGCCACTGAAAAAGACAAAATCTAATTCAGTAAAATACAAATTTGATACTTAGGAATTTTTCTTGAACATCAATTACATTTACATGTCAGAATAGACTAATGCTTCAAATTAAGAAGATCATTCTTTATTTTTTTCTCTTTAGTTGGATACAGATACCAGGAATTTAAATGATCTAACTTACCTACTTGGTTAAATTACTTCAGAGTAGCTAAATTTTGTTAGATTGCAGTCATTTTTAATATGATATCAATTGCTTCGATATGTGAGAGTACAGCAACTGCTTGGAGACATTAGGTTACAGCAATTTCTTGGGAACCTCAAGTTACAGCAATTCAGTTGTCATTATTGACTTGTATAATCTTTGATATAATTATTGATAAGTTCACTAGGGGCTAAATCCTAGCATAATAATCTCTCTTGTATATTAGTTTTACTTATTAGCCTCATGATATTTGTTTGAATAAGACTGTCTTTGGGATGGAATGACCATTCTTTAAAAAAATAATTATTATTGACTGTCTTGAGAAAAAGCTGTCTACTAAGAGAAAAACACTGAACTTTGTCCACTACACTCACTTGTCATTCTGATAGTAATTCACATTTATTGATTCAATGAATTACAACATTTTAAACACAATAAAATAAATAGATCTTCATAGAATGAAATAATATTTTTAAAAATATCTAATTTTTAAAATGTAATTTACTCTGATAAAAAAAAACAAAAAAAAACATTGAAATTTTTTGAATTGTTGCTAACAATGAATTTGGTTATAGTAAGAAACATATTTTTTCCCATTCTGCCAGAATGATTTGTCAGAAACAAAACCATAGCAAAAATGACTGGTGATGTGACTGAACAGAGAAAAGAATCGCAAAGAAAGTAATGTACAAATGACATGAGTCTTTGATTAGAAATTGAACTTACATTATTGAGTTCACTGATGGTACCTTTTAAAAAGGAATGAATCTAATTCTCCTTATGTGTTTCCTCATTACCAGTTATATTGATTATAATATTATCACCAGTGTACCACTGGTTATTGCAACCTAATGTACACTTGGTGTAATCTCTGAAAATGATTAACAAAAACTTGAAAAAAATAAAAAAAAAATATATTCATTTGAAGTGCAAACCAATTGATAAGCCTTTAAAAGCGAAATTGTTCAGGTAGAGCAGATATAAGCATTCATGAGACAAAAACTGGGACTCATACAAAGTAGATTGTATGACAGAAATATTTATCATGAAACAACCTGAACAAGTCAAGCATAATTTCACCTTTCAATTCATAAAATTAGAATAAATATTTTTTTGCACCAGTTGGCAAAGTTTATAAATTAAAATTAGTTAAAAGGAGTGACTCTTTATTTAAAAACATTTTTGCTCATGGGCTTGTTCTACAACTTCCAAATGTTTAATGCTAGAAATGTAAAATAAACTCAAAGATTACATTTTTTTCTTTTTAAAAACAATTTAAAGTTTTCAAACAAGTTGATTTATACAACTAATTTCATGGCATTGATAAAAACAGATAACACACTTTGTTCCCAGTTAAAAAAAAAAAGCGAAAATGTTTTGCTTTGCATTATTGAGGTTCCTTATATAAAGTAATTCTTTTCATCTCTCATTAAATTGGGTACTTCCAAAAATTTTCTAAAATAAAATATACCATGATGAAAGTAGGCCCTAAACTTGATAAAAACAAAGTTTATGTTATTTTTAAGAGGAAAGTACAAAGTATTTTTTGTTTATTTTATTAAATTTTTTAATCCTTTCTAGCATGTTTGAAATTTTGGTTAAAAATTTTTCATTACTTACATCAGTGGGTGGGCCAAAGATTAGCATAGTGATTTTTACTGTTTTTTTGGCATTAAAAACACATTGTTTTGGAAATTCTTACAAAAATCAAATAATTGTTGGATTTTAATGAAATTATCAAGACTTATTCACAAATAAATGAAATTATTTTCGAAATTTGTTTTGTTTTTTATTTTTTTTTTTACATCTGTACCTCCACTTAATTTTATGAAATTTCAAGAAATTAAAATTTCAGCCTCTTCACATTTATGTTAGTTAAACACAGGACTCCTTGGAAAATTTAAATCATCAATTTGTTTTTGTCAAACAGAAATACCATTTACCAAAAATGTGCTCTCAATCATAAGATAAAAAATGCGATAAAACTATGACATTATTTAGTTATAAAATCTTTTAATTGCTTTTATAAATAAGATATTTATAGAATTATTACAATTAATATTAAAATATCAAAATGTATTTTTTTTTAATGTCATGCACAGAGATTTTGAAAAATTATATATTTTAGTTAAAGTAAATCATTGATAACCTAGAGTCATCATTGCGTTTTACAGATAAAGTCTCTGTAGAACAACATTAGATCTGTCATCAGGCCGTCAACACATCAAAACAACTACTGTTGGGTTAAAAAATGTATTTCTGTGATATTTTAAACTAATTTATAATATTTGTTTCAAATCAGATTAATTATACTTTAAATCGGCTAATATTCCTCAAATAAAGTTTCAGGAAAGTATATTTTATTTTTGGATGATTTTTTTAATAAAGAGAATTACATTTTGATGAAAGAGGACTAAAAATAGCACTAATCAACTATTTCAGAAAAAAAAAAAAATCTTCTTCCAGTCAAAATTAGTTTTTGAAAGACATCAAAGTATTTTGCTTATTGAAAATACTAAATTTAATCTATTAGTTTGAAATTAAAACTAAAAGATTCAAGAAAGATTTTTTGTTTTTAAAAATTCATTTTAATCCATATGTATTGTGTTTGTTTGGGTGGTTCCTACATTAAATATTAGCGTTTCATATGTAAATGACGGTTACCTTTATCATTATGATCCAACTTCTGTATGTTACTGTAACAGCAAAAACCACATAATACAGAGCAACTTTTGTTAGAGCATTTTAATATTACTTGGAGAATAAAGAAATTTCTAGTCTAATAAAAGCACTAGTTTATGAGTAATTTTTAATTAATAATGAAATGATTAAAAAAAATTGTAAGAGAGATAACTCTAGGCCTATTAACTGCTGATTACAAAGTCATTTCCATTAACAGGAAAATAAAAGTAATAAGCAAAAAAAGTTGTAACTTTATATTTCATGATCTATGTCACTATTCAGAGACACCTGCAAAGTTCCCCCACAAGTTTCAAGTCAATGGAAAAATACATCTTGTAATGGCATCAGGAATTTCCACAATATTGTTTCCTTATTGGCATTCTTTCCCCAAAACTCCCAAACCTAATACTTGAACACCACTTTCAAATTGCTCCTGATCCTTACTGATTAGTTAATATTTGACAAATGCTTCTTGATACTTGCAACCAGAAAGATATATTTATTAGCAGATATATTATTAGTATAAGCTGATGTCACCTTTCAAATGCACTCATCTAGCAATAACATAGTATACAACACAGATGTCTGTATCAAAATATTCATTCAACACTTAATAGTTCTATTATAAAGCATATCTTTACCTCATTATCCTGTAAGATAGTCATGAAAAATATCAAAGCCTTTGTTGGGGAAGGTTCAAATTTCTCCCCCTAGTAATAATGAGCTCTTGTCAATCGACATGCAAATCTCCCAGTCATATTCCTCCCTAACTTTGTGGATATGGGGCATACTGAAAACCTATTCTGTAGATCCTCAAACTCCTAATTATCTAACATTTCCCATGTTGTAATCCAAATTTTTTGTATGTCAAAATTTAACTGATATCAGCTTGGTAAAACATATTATACTTAACTGATAGCTGTGAATCCCAATGGCATAAATTCTCCAAGAGAGGGTGAATTTTAATGATTTTTTGTCTCTATTGTTAGAACTTCAACTGTAACCAAATCCACATTGCATGCACCAAGTTTGATATTTCCAACCCAACAGTAATTACAAATTTTCTTATTAGAATGTCCATATCTTCCCTTCTCCATAGCTGATGAACTGACACACTCACAAATGAGCAGAGGAACCTCCAGAATCTACCAAAGCCATCCATGATGTTGCATCAAACAGGACTTCAATTATTGGTAGTGTCTGGAGAGATGACCAGTGTTGAGGTTTTTCCAACTCTCACAAAATCTTGTTTCCCCAAATGATCTGATGAAAGGTCATGTAATGCTTGGCACTAATAACATACTTCTTTCCATGACTCTCTATAGTACACAAATACAACAGTTTCTTGGTTTGCTGTTCATGCTGGTTCCACCATTTTGAATACTGACCATGTCACTGCTGTGTCTAGAATCAATAGTTCCACTTCATCTGTCAATATTGTCACAGTTCACGCCAACATTTGATCAACATTCATAAAATCCATTCATGAAGGTGTGTAAAAGATGCTTGACAAAATAAATAAATAAATAAATAAAAAATGATGTTTTCCTCCAGTTATCTATCTGGAAAAGCCTTATCAGAATTGCCATGTGGTGGCATAGTCTTCTTTCCTTTTTCTTCTCTTCCTGAGTGGGAATACAAAACCAACCTAGGACCATATTTATGTTGCTTCTCCAACCTCATAATCACGCCATTGCAAATAGTAATGCTTCAGAATTAATCAAACACTTTTTTCACTTAATAATCAAATCAAGATCATTAACAAGTTTTCCTTTTTGAAAAATAACAGTTTGCTCCTTATATGATCTCTTATTTACCAGACTAAGAAAGGCAGAAAAAGTTCTTTGTGGTGATTAAATGAAAGTAGTTTTGTTTTGGAGGCATTAAAATTTACAAGCCATTTCTTGTCCTAGTTGCCCTGATTGGATGTCCTTTTTGATAACAGTTGCCAGTTCTACTTTGTTGGATCCATTGGACTTGCTACTAAGAAAGGAGTAAATGGCTGTGTCATCTGCATAAATACATAGTTAAACTGAATTTTAACAAAACAAGAGAATTTTGCAATCAGAACAAATATTACAAACAAGTAGATTAAT